CCCTCCTTCCTTCCTTTCTTTCTGTGTAGATCTGTGCATTCCCCCCCATAGTTAGCAGTCCAGTGGCACCTTTAAGATCAAGGTTTATTCAGGTACAAGCTCTCCCTGCTCTGTGAGGGCAGATTTGCACTGTCAGGGGTGTGGCCTACTATGCAAATGAGTTCCTGCTGTTGGGTGTGGCCTACTATGCTAATGAGTTCCTGCTGGGCTTTTTCTACAGAAAGAGCCCTGACTAAAGGGAACCTCCACCTTCAAAGACAGTAAACCTCTGAACCCCAGAGCCAGGAGGCAACATCAGGGGAAAGCCTCAGGTTCTATGTCCTGTTGTTGACCCTTCATAGGAAGTGGTTGACCACTGTGTGGCACAGGATGCCGGACTAGGTGGATCACTAGTCTGATCCAGCAGGCCTCTTCTTATTTTCTTAAGAGAGGAAAATCGTTTCCACCCTTAGCCAGCCATGCTATTCCAACCCACCTTCTCCCTACATCTCTGCATACTCACTTTCTGGTCCTTCCCCAAAGCACAGCAAATACAGCATACAGTAAAAGAGCTCATTGCCAGCGCACATGATGAAGAGGACGGGCTGAAGGAAAGAGGGAAAAGAGTTTGTCAGGCAAACCGTACTGAGAAAAAGAAGCAAAAAGGAAGCAACTGGGGTTGATATTCTGTGCATGTGCTTACACATTCACAAGAAAGGATGCCGGCTGTGTGGTTTGAAGCATTCCCCACCATGCCCTCTCCCACCCATGGCCTGCAGGTGGCGCTGTGCATTCTGAGCCAGTATTAGTGGAAGTCAAGTAAGCAGTGATCCAAGACAGAATATTCTTGCTGGTCGCCCCTAAGTGATGGAACATCTTGACAGGGTGAGTCCCCTCTACCTCTTCTTCTTGAGGCTACCAGCAACATGATCTTTGGGAGGACTGCTGGTACAGGGCAAGTTATTAATTACACTGACTTTCTGGAGGGGAATGCTGATTTTTTAAAAAATTGCAACTCTTTTAAAAACTCTGATTGCTATTTTGACAAAAAGCAAAGGTATTTTATAATCCATGTAGTAACTGCAGCGAGAATCTTATTGGCAACTTATTGGAAACTTCCATCAACACCTTCAGAACATGATTTAATAGCGAAGATTATGAAAAGTGCGGAAATGGATAAATTGACCTCAGTGCTAAAAGGGCAAATGGACTTTGTTGGACTATGGGCTCCATTCTATAACTGGATAAGAGAGAAATATAAAGATATGAACTTTTAAAAAATATAATACTACGAAGACTTTATGAACGTTTAAATTTCACAGTTTATTTATGTATAACCTGAAGCTACAAGTAGAGGAAAGTTACATGCAGGAAACTATTGCTTTTACCCTTTCCCCTTTCCCCTTCCTTACCCTTCTGTATTTTAAAAGCTTAATAAAAATTTTAAAAAAATTCTGACTGCTATTTGTTAAATGTTCTTATAAAGTGTTCTTTTTTCTCTTATTCACTTGTGCAGCTTTCTTGTATATGTCTGTATGTTTTGTATTTTCAGGGCCTCTGTTTTAGTAGTAGTATAACCCATTTGGGGTGACTTATTCAGCCAGGTGGGATAGAAGTGATCAGAACAAAGAAACCAAACACCGAACGCCCTCTCCTTCAACAGGAAGTGGCTCGTCACCTGAAACGTGTCTGGCAGAGAGACCACAGACCAGATATGGAGAGAAGGCTTATTCCAGCTGGCAGCTGGATCAGTGTACTGAGAGCCAGCTTCATGTAGTGCTTAAGAGTGGCAGACTCTAATCTGGAGAACTGGGTTTGATTCCCTCCTCCTTTACATGAAGCCTGCTGGGTGACCAGCCTGGACCGGTCACAGTTCTCTCAGAGCTCTCTCAACCCCACCTACCTCACAAGGTGCCTGTTGTGGGGAGAGGAAGGGAAGGAGATTGTAAGGCCCTCTGAGACTCCTTAAGGTAGAGAAAATGGGGTATAAAAAACCACTCTTCTTCATTATCATCAGTCAGGCAGAACTACGTCTCCCATCATGCACTGAATAATGCTGTGCATTATCCATGTTTGACCTGAATGGCCCAGGCTAACCTGATCTTGTCAAATCTCAGAACCTAAGCAAGGTCAGTCATGGTTAGCGCTTGGGTGGAAGACGACCAAGAAGGTCCAGGGTTGCTATGCAGAGGCAGGCAATGGCAAACCACCTCTGACTGTCTCTTTACCTTGAAAACCCCAAGGGGTCATCATAAGCGAGCTGTGACTTGACGGCACTTTCCGCCACCATTGCTGATGCAACTTGTACACTGACAGAGACTATAACACAGAGAGTCAACATGATACTAAAAAGGACAAACTCGTGTGAGGACAAGAAAGATTCTCTAATACCTGGGCATTTCTTATTCCCAGTATATAATAAACCATTTCCAGCTCTTTTAATTACTAATGTTTTGCTGTCCTCCTTTTGCCCAATAATATGGTTTTGCTTTACTCCTTATTGACAGCTCTCTTGTATACCCCTCTCTTATTTTATTTATTTATTTATTTATTTGCATTTATATCCCCCCCAGCCCGCTGGTGGGCTCAGGGCGGGTAACATCATTAAAATAAATACAATTTCTGAGCTGTTACTTTTTGGACGGATGTCCACAATGAGATACAAAAAAATTTTAAATGTACATTTAAAAAAGAACCAGAAATATTACTTTTGGGTCTGAAAATGGAAGAAGTAAATGTCACCAAAAAAACTTTGTTATGGTACCTAATTACTACTGCTAGAATGACTTATGCACAATATTGGAAGCAAGATAAGGTACCAGAAATATGGAAATGGATTAAAAAAGTACTGTTTATGGCTGAAATGGACAAACTTACAAGGAAGCTAAATAACCAAGAATATTTGAAAATGAATTGGGATTTCACAAATAATTTACTATGTTTTGATGAATATTAAAATAGAATACTAGAGAATGATTTAAGGGAAAACTGAAATTTAAGGTTACCTGGTTATGTGAGATAGATACAGATAAGTAAGAACTAAATGTTTAATGATGTTGAGTATTATAAAGTTAAGAGTGAAATTAAGAAAATAAGAAGTAGATAACGGGATAGGAGCATTGCGGGAAGCCAAGTAAGGGGGTGGGGAGGGAGATATTATAAAAACGGGATATGTGAAGAATAAGAATATGAGTGTTGTAACGAAAATGATAAAAATGTTATCATATCCTATTGATTGTTTTTAAAAAAATACAATTTCAGTTTAAAACATTAAACATTAAAACACCATAAAACATTATAACAGTTAAAACAATGGGTACAGTTTGGAACAGCATAAGGTAAAGGTAAAGGTTCCCTTGCTCGAAAGCCAGTCGAGTCCGACTCTAGGGCTGCGGTGCTCATCTCCATTTCAAAGCCGAAGAGCCAGCGCTGTCCGAAAATGTTTCCGTGGTCATGTGGCCAGCATGACTAAACACCAAGGCGCACGGAACGCTGTCACCTTCCCACCGAAGCGGTCCCTATTTATCTCCTTGCCATTTCTTGCTTTCCAACTGCTAGGATGGCAGGAGCTGGAACAGCATAAGTTGGCTATAAAGTTCTGGCCTGATGGCACCATAAGTTAAAGGCCAGCTGTCGATGGTCAGTAGACAGGTGACAGACGGGTGCCCCGGCAACCTCAGGGAGGCCATAGATGGGCGCCTGCTGCCTCAACCAAAGGCCTGGTGGAAGAGCTCCGTCTTGCAGGCCCTGTGGAATTGAAGGAGATCCTGCAGGCCCCTGGTCTCAATAGGGAGCATCTTCCACCAGGCTGGGGCCAGGACAGAGAAGGCCCTGGCCCCGGTCAAGGCAAGACGGGCAGCCTTCGGGCCAGGGACCACCAGGAGGTGTTGATCTTTCGAGCGTAAGGCTCTTCGAGGTGTCTATGGGAAGAGGCGGCCCCTTAGATATGTTGGTCCCATATTCGGTCCAGATCTCAACAGCTCAGAGATTTAACTATTTTATATAGTGTTAGTCTTGTGGCTAAAATCAGATTTAACAACCAAACAGCCCCCTTTTATATATATATATACACACACACACACACACACACACACACACACACACACACCCCTCCTTTGGACTATATCAGCAAAAAAAAAATATTTTAGGATCCCCATTTCTTTAAAGTAAATTAAATTTTTAAAAGTAAATTAAATGATCTCCTTCCCCACCATGCAGATGAGAAAAAGGGGAGTCTTCATTTTGCTTTTCAGCAGCCGTGGTAATAAGGAAGGATGGCAAAGGGTAGTGTGGGGAGAAACTGGAGATGTGTAGCCGGACAGGGGAGAGGAGGCAGGAAGGGTTCGAGCAGAACTCACCCGGGAGCTGTAGTATATCCGGAGGATCCGGTTCCCTGACAAATCAATGCTCTTGTGGCTCTCGCCGCCTTTCACCACCGTGCTGGAAGACGCAGAGGCAGGAGTTGAAGCAGGAATTTGGAGCGCTCAGCCTGACCACGTACCAAAGCCCCTCCATTTCTGCAGGCTGGACCTCTCTTCTTCTTTTGACTTTCCCCACTAAATTTCCCCTTCTGGCTGCTCCTCAGCAAGCCCTTTGCAGAGCTCCCCCCATCAGGCCTGTCTATGCTTTTTTTAAAAAAAAATCAAAGTGTTTTACCAAGAAAAACTGAAATTGGGCACATTGCATATTTAAAAAGGTGTCCACCTAGGTTCCTTCCTGACTAGTTTTCTAGATAAAAAAATAACCCTCCTCCTCAGCATTGATATACCACTTTAGTTTAAAAGCACGTAGATCATGTGGGAATCTTCACAACAACCATGTAAGGCAGGGCAGTATTACCTTCTCCTACTGCAAATAGGCGCAGGCTAAGCCCCTCTTCTAAGGCCCCTTTGACAGACATGGGATCTGAACCAGGAATGACTTGATTTATAGCTCCATCTTTGCATTTTTTTTATAAAGCCAGCAGCATTCAAAAATGCAGTTCCCCCAACCTGCCTTCTGAAATGGTGGACACGAAGAAGACTGGGACCATGTGGTTTCCCTGCATATCAGAATGAATTCACAACTGCAAGCCAATCCTGAAGGCCAGGAGTTCTCAGGGCTAAGCTACCTAGAGCTGGATTCTCAGATCAGGAAGAGGCCCGGCAACAAAGACCTCTCGAGAGTCATGATCTCTGCCACATCCTTCTCCCCCACTGGATACCTGTGGAGGTGGAGCCAATGGGAGGCCACATCGAGGCTCATGCTGAGTTGAAACCAGAGGGCAGATTCAGGGTACAGCATGGCCAGGTTCACCAACAGACACATGGTGGCACAGCGGTCGGTCAACATGTCCAGCATGGCGCCGAAGCGGGTGCCTGGGAGGAACATACGTTAGGAGAGAAAAGGTGCTGGGGAGGCAGAGACTGAACTCACCCTGCAGGCTTTCAAATGCACCTCCTAAAGCAGGGGTGTCAAACTCATTTGTTACGAGGGCTGGATCTGACATAAACGAGACCTTGTCGGGCCGGGTGTAAAATGTAATGCCAGGTAGCGGAGATATAAACTTTATAAAGGACATAAACCCAAAGATTGTTTTTTTACTTAAAATAAAAACATGCTTAAAACGTTAGCTCTGTAAGCTGCAAACCTACTTTTGATTCATTGACATTCGCCACGGAAATCTCATGCTCAGAGTTCTGAGTCTAGGACCCAGGTTAAAACATGAAATGGCTGAGTGATTAAGAGAGTCTGTCGAAGCAAGCTACGATGCAGCAGCAGAACTGGAAGCAGGAGATGGCCAGTTCCACTGCGGGCCTGATGGAAGCCCTCTGGGGGCCTGATCCAGCCCCCGGGCCGCATGTTTGACACCCTTGTCCTAAAGCCTGAGATCCAGAAACTAGGGAATAGAAAGAGGAAGCCTAGAAATCCCCATGCCCAGCACTGATGCCTGCACCGTGTTCTTAAATCAAACGAACGCAATGAACTAAGTGTGCAAAATTATCCAGCTGCATGAAGAGAGGGCACAGAGGTGAATGTTCTATGTGCTCAGACGACTCTGCAGTGGTTAAGAGCCCAGCCTCGTCATCACCAGCTCACAGGTTTGACAGGGGGGAGGGGGTGACCGATAATTAGCTCGCCCAGAGCACCCAAGTGAGTTCACAGCCGAATTCACAGCCCCGGATCCCGTGGCTCACACTTGTCGACCAGCATACCCTGCCGGTTCTTAAAATAAATCCAAGAACAACTGGGCTGCCCAGTGATGACAAATCCATTCTATCCACCTCCCAGGAAGACGTTGCCATCTGCCACGTAACAGGCTGGAGCACAGACTAGCCTACCTTGGTTAAGGACCCGCGCTGCATGGCCATCAAAGGCGTCAAGGAAACCGCTAAGCAGGTAGAAGAAAGACGCCGTCAAGTGGGACGTTGGCATGAAATAAAAAGCAATGAACGCGAAGATAATGCGGGCGTAACCTGCAAGAAGGGGGGGGAGACACAGCATCCTTGAACCTTTCGCCCCAAATTCCAGCCCTCTCCCACCTCTCAGCTGCTCCCTCCCTTCTCCCAAAGCCACACCCTCTCGTTTCCCAGCTGCCAGACATACGGAAGTCAAACAAGGTGAGTCCAGTAGCACCTTAGAGACCAGCACGAGATTCTCAGGGTATAACACGGAGGGAGCTCTGACTCTCGAAAGCGGATAGCCTGGAAATCTTGTTGGTCTCTTAGGTACGCCTGGACTTGAATCCAGCTCTTTTACTGCAGACCAACAAGACTACCCCTGTGGAACTAAAATTCAAACTGTGGCCTGTATTTTCTACCTCCTGGAGAAAAGAGGGGAAACGTGCTCCCTAACCACAGCTGCCCCCAAACAGAGAGTCCCTCTAGGCCCCCTTCACCCACCCAGTCCCATCACAAAATATCACATGGCAGGGGTCATTTCGTAGAAAAAGAGCTAGGGAAACTCATTAGCATAACTCATTAGCATATACCACACCCCCTGACATCAGGGGCCCGGCGGTGGACCTGCAAGGCCAGCGGGAGTGTGAGGAAGCCCCGCCAAGGCCCTCCCTGGCCCCAGGCAGGCAGGGGTGGGGAGAGGCAGGGAGGAAGCAACTTACCCTCCCTCTTCTCCTGCCTCCTCCTAGCTGAATGAGGGCTGGAAGTGGGGCGGCCGGAAGCAGGGGGCGGGGCTTCGTCATGTGCCCCGCCCCCTGCACCTCACCCGGGGGAACTGCGTTCCCCCGCGTTCCCCCCCGAAATGACCTCTGTCACATGGAAACAAATGACACGCACGGTGGTGGACCATGCCCCCCACCCCACCCCGGCTGATCGGGGCCCCTGGGATTTTGTTCGCCTTGGCTCTTTTGCTCAGTGTCCCTCAGCCAGCCCAGCACTCACGGAGACTCCCCCTTATTGCTGCCCTTCCCTTCAGCGGCATCGTTACAGCTTAGGAAGGTGACAACCAGTCAAGAAGCGGGCAGAGCGTGATTAGGTTGGAACGGGAGCCCGAGAGGGTTGCCAGATCCTCCCCCCACCACTGGCAGGGGATGGGGAGGGGGTAGAGTTGCCAGATGATGAGCAAGAGTAATCCCACTTTGTTAGCTTTAAGTAAAGCAGCAGTTGTGCACTCAGAGTACTTTATTTATTTATTTATTTATTAAGATTTATACCCCGCCCTCCCCGCAGAGCGGGCTCAGGGCAGCTTACAAGGGGCAAAGCCCATATAAAGCAGATAAAAGCAATAAAACATTCATGACAGTTAATAAAATTATACTCAATTTAACAAGATGGTCTCCAGATGGTTCTCCAGGGTGATGTTATCCTATAGCTCAACCAGGTAAATCCAGTGGCCACGCAGAAATTGTGGCAGATCTTCCTGGGCCATCCTTACCCCGATGTTGTCCACCTCATTGGTGGCGGTGGTAGTGGTGGCCCCTATGTGAAAGCCTGGTGGAAGAGCTCCGTCTTACAGGCCCTGCGGAACTGCATAAGGTCCCGCAGGGCCCTGATCTCCTCCGGGAGCTCGTTCCACCAGGTGGGGGCCACCACTGAAAAGGATCTGGCCCTAGTCGTGGCGAGCCTTGCCTCCCCGGGGGCCTGGAACCACCAGGCGATATTGTGCCCCGGACCGAAGTGCTCTTGGGGGTATATATGGGGAAAGGCGGTCCCTCAGGTAAAGCCATAAAGGGCTTTAAAGGTAAGTACCAGCACTTTGAAGCGGATTCGGTATGCTATTGGCAGCCAGTGCAGCGCTTTCAGTCCAGGCTGGATGTGATCCCACTTGGGGAGACCCATCAACAGCCTTCTGCCTTCTGCCAGATCTGTCGCTACAGTGGGGCATTTCAGGGCTCTGCCCCCTCAAATGTGAGGCACGCCCCACAACAGCTGCTGCCCCTCTCCCCCCCTCCAGATGATCACCGGGAGCACGTAGCCTGCTGATCAGCTGCAGGGCCCTTTATATCTTGCAGGAAGGGAGGAAGAGGAGCAGCCGCATGCCTTCCCTGAACTCCAAGAGGCTGCCCCTCTCCCTCCCCTGCTGCCCCACTGAATTTCCCCGTGCCCCACCAACCCAAAACTTCTGGCTACGGGGCTGACTTCCGCCCAGCCTCTTGAACCATTCTCTGGAATACTCGAAACAGACACAGAAAACATTCTGAGAAGATGCTGAGGCAGGAAGGGGGGGGGGAGCGTAGAGGAACAAAGGGCCTTCGGTAGGTCTCAAATGAGTTAAGAAGCTTATCCGCTTGCTTGCTGAAATGCAGAAGTTCGGCATGGGAATACAACAAAATGCAGCTTGCGCATGCGTAAAGAAAAGCTGGCTGTGTAGGGGTCTAAAAGCCCACCCCAGCTCCAGTCAAGTGGGAGCAGAATGCGTGGAGTTGATTTGCCTTCCTGTAGCCCCCTCATTCCTGGAATAAAGTCCCCCTCCCATTCAACGGAGTGCCTCGCCTGTGTGTGTTAACTGGAACGGCACAAGACAGGTTAACAACCCCACTTCTGCAACACAGAGACAGGTTGAGAAACTCCTGGAGATTTGGGGATGGAGCCTGGGGAGGACAGGGGCACCCTCCAAAGCATCCATTCTCTCCAGGGGAACTGATCTCTGTAGTCTGGAGATGAGCTGCGAATCTGGGGGATCCCCAGGCCCCACCTAGAGGGAGGGCCGGCTCACTCACTAGGCGAACTAGGCAATCGCCTAGAGTGGGTCGGCCCTTAGGGGCGCCAAACTGCACCTGGCCCCGTACTCTGGGAGTTTCTTGATTATTTGTGTTTTTCATTCTTCCTAAAATGCATTTATTTTTGAAAATTGGTGGGCGCAAGGGATCCTCGCCTAGGTTGCAAAATAAGCTGGGGCCGGTCCTGTCTAGAGGCTGGCTTCCCTCGGGACAAACAAGCAGAGCAGAGCAACAGGCCACAAAAGGGATTCCTTCCGTTCAGGCCAAAGGCCCATCTAGCCCAGGGTCCCGTCCGTCCCCCCCCCTGCTCAGCTGCAGCATCGTCACTCAGGAAGGCGGCGGCAGCAGCGGCCAGGGAAGGGGACTGGGCCAGGCTGGGGAAGCCGGCAAGCGAGGCGCGAAGGCAACAGGCGGCTCTTCTCGCTCGCCGCCGGCCCCGGGGGTTCAGAGCCCCTTTTCAGAAGCAACGCATGAACACCCGCCCGCGCCCAGCAAAGAGGCAGCCCGAGGAATCGCCGTTTTCCTGCCTCGCAGCGCTTAAAAAGCTCTCTGCGGGTCTACTCAGGAGTCATTCCCACGAAAAGCCATCGAAAGCGCCTGGTTTTCTTCAAGACGGAAGCCAGTGGGAGAGCCCTTGCCGAAAGACTGCGTAGCACATGTCCGCCAGCCAAACGCTCCCGCGCCCCATCCCCTTACATACCGATGAGGTTGGGGACGAAGAGGAAGATATTCTCTTGCTTCATCTTGGTGGCTGCGCGGCGATCCAAGCCGTCCTGCGAGCCCTGCCCGGCCCCAGAGTCCCAAGGCGAGATTTAGACCGTGCAAGAACAGCCCCCTGCAAACACTCCCTTCCCAGGGGACCCAGGAGTCCTGCCTTCCAGGCCCTCGTGCGCCAGGGAGACCCCCTGTCCTTCCCTGAGTCCGCGCTCTCTTTGCTCCCCGCACCTCTCCAATGCACCACTCTCTACAACCTTCAGCTGCTCTTCTCAGTTTTGGAAAAGGGGGAATTATAGGCTGTCACTCTAAAAGCTCTTATGATTCACCGCTCTGTGCCGGGTTGGACTGTACCAGAAGAAATAGAGAGGAGGGGATCCTTTTAAAAATATATTAGAAGTTTAGCGAATGGAATCTCACCACGATAGATCGATCGTTTCCCCCTCTTACTCACTCCACCCACCCAGATGTTTCTATATTTTACACTCCGCCCTTTCTCGCCTCCCGGGAGCCATTTCCGGAAAATACTTTCTACCCTCACTTTCCGATTTGGTTTAGCCCAACCACAGAGAAGACCCAGGGTTCAAACTAGACGAGCTACTTCCCCGGCCCTTTCTCATCCCAGGAAGCGATCTTGCTCATAGAGCTCTTGGAGGACCGAGGCTAGAAAAGGCCCGTTTAGGGAAGAAGCTGAAGCCTAAAGGAGGGCTGACATTTATAAGTCGCGTCACGGCAGAATTTTTTTTTGGACCCACCTCTTCTCTTATTAACCAATCGGAAGAATCCTGTTAGCCAGACGGAAACCATGGTGAGGAAATTGCATTTCCCCAATAAAAGGGTGACAGATCCCAGGCCCAGAGGTTTCCTCTCCATTTCCCTATGGGTAGTCATGGATTCTCTATTGGCAATTATGTATTGCGCTTTTCCCTCAGGGCAAGCCTACTCTCCATTATTCTCTATGGGCACTCATGTATTCCGCTGTCCTTAGTTTTAGTACGTCCCCGTTTCCCTTAAGGAGGCCACTGTTTGTAGCCTTGTACATTGTACATTGTACAGCTCCTGCCAACCTAGCAGTTCGAGAGCAAGAAATTGCAAGTAGATAAATAGGTACCGCTTCGGTGGTAAGGGAACAGCGTTCCGTGCGCCTTGGTGTTTAGTCATGCCGGCCACATGACCACGGAAACGTCTTCGGACAGCGCTGGCTCTTCGGCTTTGAAACGGAGATGAGCACCGCAACCCTAGAGTCGGACTCGACTGGCTTTCGAGCAAGGGAACCTTTACCTTTACATTGTTTGTAGCCCATGCAGAGCTCAGTGTCCAGAAAGAGGGCCAGGCGAACCTTCTTTAGCGACAGGCAGTCCACAGAGACGTTTCGCGCGCGCGCCCCCCCGGCCGTTTCAGCTGTCGCCGCCAGCAGCCGCGGCCATAACTTTTTAAAGAGCCCCTAACGAGCTCTTTAAATGACCTCTCGCGCAGAATGACCATCACACGCGAGAGGTGGAATTTGCCCCTAGGAGTCCAAGGCCACCACCCCGGGGCTCAGGGAGGCGGGGGA